ATGGGAGTGATTACTATTTTTATACAAAAATTTAATATTCGCAGTGTAAACCTCTCCTGGACCCCGTATTTAATCAGGAAATGACCTTTTTTGTTTTTAAAAAAGAATAAAGAATTTACAAATTTTGAAAAAGGTCTCTTGCTATCGGAAGAGAGTTAAATGCGCAAATTGCACGCCTACCTTTGTTATTTGTAACATGTAAATTAACAATAATTTCCGTCAATTCCGTTATTACTAATTGTAGCTCTTTTACCGTGCCGATTTTATTGTATTCATTTTTTCTTTTAAAATAATCGGTTAAGAACAGATATGGAAACTTGACCTTTTAAATTTTTAAAATTACATTATAAATGGAATTATATATATATATTTGCAAGTAGGTTTTTGCGTTCCGTTTTTTTCAAAGCCGGCTGAACTTTACCGCGCTGATTTTGTCGTACGGGCCGATAAGGAAAGGCGTTCTACGGAATGTATTTTCTATAAATTTGCCACTTAAATATCATTCTTCTCCATTAAAAATTTAACTTTTTAAATTTTTAAAAATCGAGTTACATATGATACAAACTACAAATTATTTTGTAAAGACGGTGTCCGGTTTTGCCCAAAGGTATTTTACGCCTGCTGGCTCACCGAAATAAATTTGATACAGAATAAAGGGCAGACATGAAATCTTTCAACAATAAAGAAGAAGTTTTCACAATATTGAACAGAAAATTTACTAGGGTCAAGATTAAATCGCATTCGAATTTTCAACAGAACTAGAGACATGGCATCTTTACATACCTCCATACTTAAAGTGTGATTTTATTTGATAATGAATTGCCTGAAAACAAAAGTTTTCAGATTTTAACCCCTGTTTACATTGAAAATTTCTCTGCTAGTCATACCGAAATAATAAATTTTAAAATATTATTCTCTTTAATTAATTAATTCAAAATATTTATAATCTTAAAAACTTCACGCAGAAGTTTATAAAAATTGCTGTTTATTCGTTAACTTAATTCAAAATCACTTGAAACTGAACTGCTATGAATTCCAAAAAAAAAAAACTACCAGGGACTTTTTATTCTTTCGTTTCGAAAACCTATCAAGCTAGTTTCAAAAAATGTCGATGGTTCTCTGCAGGTGGCAACATTTTGCCTGAAATAATGCACAAAAGGCGCACCTGAGGTCCTCGCCCCTAGTAAAGCTAATGTGTACAGTAGAAGTGAAAGTTTGAAACAAACCACAAAAAGCAGTCATTTCCCAGAACATGCAGACTCAAAGTTACTTAGAGCGTAGCTAGCCAAAATGAATTCAAATTAATAGATCTCTACATTTTCTTTGGCGAACAAAATTAAGGATAATATTGAACAGACAGGGAAATATAAGAAATTATTCAGATATTATTGATCAAAATTAGGTTACATGTTCATATTTAACTGAAAAGTAGCTCCGCAGTTGTAAACTTTCAAATTAAAATGTTATATTGGGACATGACACAATGTATTTTTTTAAATAATCAAAGCAACAGAACATTGCTATTCACCGCAAATGATCTAGGGTTTTTTTCTATCTAGGGCAATTTATTATCCATAAAAAAAGAAATATATTGCCAAAATATCTGTTCAAAAGACTGCAAAAATTCAAGCTGCGGTCGTATCATTATTTTATTTTCAACTGCGTCGAATCATTTCGTAAAAAAATCATTATTTTCTTTAAAAAATAAACATCTCTTTTTAAATGAAATTTTAGTAATGATGCAAAAAGTAATTTCGAAGTTTTACGGTGTTTAACTCTGAAAAAAACACATTAATTAAATTTGAAGGTTTAAAAACGATAAATAAAGCAATTTCATGAACTTTCGCCGTCGTATCCAACATTTCCATATAAATTCGGCCCGCTTCAAATTGCAAGTTCGAGCTATAATTTATCATTTGTTTTACAAAATAGTTGTGCAAGCAACATATACCAAACGAAGCGGAAAATAATGTAGCGTGTTACTACATATATCTGGTTTTCAATCATTTCCAACAAAAAAAGTTATAAACAAAAACATACGTTTTTCGTTCCAAGATGGCGGCGTTTGTTTTCGTTTTGTAGGATACGACACAGATTTGATTCCCAGCCCTGGAAACTAGTGAATCAAAATGATAAAAGTCGTTGATATTGGAGTTTAGACATTCTTTGATTAATGTAAGAGAAAATACCATCTCAGAAAAAAATCTATACTAATCTATTACAAATGTAATTTGTTGCTTTGCGGAAAAGAGTTCCAATAACAAAACTAAAAACACGCTACAAAACTATGTTATCAAATCTAGCCTGAAACTGTTAATACCAGTAACGTTAGTATATTTGTTTCAGATTTCCGAGTTTAAACTTGATGCGTAATTAAATAATACTTATATACGGGTCCAGAATGGTATTGTTCCTTTTATAACATTTATAAAGCAAGGATGATGTTATATTAACAAACCTAGATATTGAGATTTTTTTTTCTAAATAACATGCGTTTATTGTGAATCTAAAAAAAATAATATATTATATATATTTACCCGCCAAATACAAACATACACAATTCATAACTTTTGGAGTAAAAGAAATATAATATTTTCCCGCCAAATACAAACATACACAATTCATAACTTTTGGAGTAAAAGAAATATAATATTTTCCCGCCAAATACAAACATACACAATTCATAACTTTTGGAGTAAAAGAAATATAATATTTTCCCGCCAAATACAAACAGACATAATTCTCATGATTTAGAGTAAAACAAGATCGTGTTATTCACGACACTCCGGCCAACAAAAATTAAAATATGATATCTTTCACTAAAATAGTACATATTAAAATTTCTCTTTAAATATTCTCAAAATGCAAGAATTGAAACAAACTTCTTCTTAGAAAATTAAACTCATACTGGCGCAAATAAATTTAAACAAATAGTTATAATGACAAACATATTTTTAAACATAATGAATGAAACATACTTCTGTTTTCTTAAACAAATCTTTCAATTTATAAACATTTACAATATCTGTTTCAAAGCAATGTATGTATCAGTATGTAACATTTTAATACATATAAATAGTTCAACTTGTTTCAGTAGGTTTTTTTTATATAAATGTCTAAGCAACATACGATATAGAACATCCCTTGTTCTGTTGAACTAAAAGTCAGTACCTCAGTACATTTTTATTCATTTATTGCATTGTATAGTAATGGTAATCGTCGACAAAACACAGGTTCTTCCCCTCTATATGTAGTATAATATTGCTCCAAATTATTCGCGCGTAAAATCACCATGTGTTATAACTATGCTCCAAATTATTAGCGCGTACAGTCATGTGATATGAAATAATTCGTCTCCTATTTTATTCGTAGGAGAAAATAATATTAGCCTTATTGTTTTGTAATCCGTGCATAAATATATTCACACTCTTTTTTTAAAAAATAATTCAACTATTCATACACGCGTATGCGGATTTACCCAACAACACAAGAGTAATGTCTTTAAATACCTATGGATTGTTAATTACTTAAGAAGATTTTTAAGGCGTAATTTCGCTAAATTTGCCGCCTTTCTCTCGATACGTATACCAGTTTCTTTCTTTGCGTTTGGTCTTATATCCTCTGTCTCTGGATTAAGAAGTATTGAAGTTTCAATAGGATAAAGTAAGCTTAAAGGTCTTTTAAGCACTTTTTTGATGCAGTTTCAATATCTGCAGAACGAACACAACCATCGGAACTAACATACAGATGGATGACTTTTCCTAGCCTCCAGCTACCTCTAGAAGTATTATCTTTGATAAGTACTACATCACCTACATTTGGATTGAATTGTACTTTATGTTTTCCTTGTTTTAGATTTGTTTGTGTTCTTTCCCTAAGACTACATAAATATTCGTCTTTCCATATTTTCCAGAAGGAATCTAAAAGCCGCTTTCCTTTTTTCCATATTGCCAAAAATGTATCCTCTGAACTTTCTATCACCTTAAAATCTGGGTCATCTGAAGATATTTCAATTTCAGGAAACTCAACATTCGGGTTCAAACAAATGAAGTGCGAAGGTGTCAGCGTGATATTGGAGTTTATATCTTCTCCAACATTAACTAATGGGCGACAGTTCACAATAGCTTCAACTTCCTTTGTGATAGTTATAAGCTGGTCGCTGTCCAATAGTTTTTTTCCAATAGATTTACATAAACTTCTTTTAGTTAAACCAACAAGTCTTTCATAGAAGCCGCCCATCCATGGAGCGATTTCTACAATGAACCGCCATTTAATACCCTCACATGAACTGTAGGTTTAAACATCATCACTTTTCAAATTTGAACTCCATAGCAACTCAATTGTACGTTTTGCCAGCTTAAAATGTAACGCATTGTCACTGATGACCTCTTGCGGTTTTCCTCTGCATGCTATGAATCTGCGAAAACTGTTTAAAAATGCACTTGTTGTCATGTCTTTCACCATTTCCAGATGAACTTCACGCGTGACCATACATGTATATAGGCATACCCACACCTTTTTTATGGTTTGTTTGTCCCTTATGTATAATGGTCCGAGATAATCCAATCCAATATGACTGAAAGGTGTTGATTTTGTAACTCTTGAACGAGGCAACGGAGCCATAAGAGGCATTTTATACGCTCCGCCTTCAACTCAATGACACACTAAGAACTTATGAAGAACTTTTCGTACCGTAGCTCTTCCGCTGGGTATCACGATATCTAAGTTGACTAAGTGTTTGAGACACACCTGAGTGAAGCAAATGCTTATGTTCCCTTTCGACAATTGACACTGTTAAAGGATCATCGCGAGGTAGCAGTAACGGATGTCTAGAAGACTCCGTTAAACAAGCATTTTCTAAACGACCCTTGCACCTCAAAAGGCCGTTTATATCAATGAACACACCAAGTTGCTGCTGTAATTTGCATTTTTTCTTTCCTCTGATAGACTCATAAACTTCCAAAAGATGTTTGTGTTGCGCATGTTTTATCCACATATTTTCAATCTGAGAACAAATGAACTTCGTCAATTTGCATCTTTATTTGCTCTTGTATAAAGGCTAAACATCGTACCCCTATAAGTACAGCAAGGAGTTCAAGTCGTGCAATACTGATGTTTGAAGTTGGGGCAAGTCGAGACTTTGAAAATACTATTTCGATGTGCTGTTGTGAATTCCCTTTCTGCATCAAATATATAACGGTAGCGTATGCTTTGGTAGAGGCATCACAGAAACACACACGAACATTTTTGTTATCACTTTCACTTACAATGCATCGTGGGGTGGCATGTTCACTTATTTCACTGAGATCTCGTTGAATTTCATGCCATACAACAATGTCTTCTTCGTCAATTGGCTGGTCCCAATCGACTTTTTTCTTCCACAGTGTTTGAATGAGTACTTTTACTCTAAGCGTAACTGGTGCAAATATACCTAGAGGGTCAAATACAGAGGCAATTTTGCTCAAAATGACACGCTTAGTTACACACTGAGTTGTCGATTTATTCACTTTCTGTATCGCCAATGTATCCTTGTGTCTGTTCTATTCAAGACCTAACACTTTAATCACAGTTACATTTGCTCTGTTTTCAGGTGGAATACTTTCCGTCACGTCTCTGTTGTAAGACGCCCACTCGCGAAGATTCATGCTGGCATCGTCGAAAATTCTTTTGGACCTAATATACAAGTCTTTCGCAGCTTCAATGTTTACTGTTCCCGTTACAACATTGTCCATATAAATATCTCCTCTCAGTTTCTTGGCGATTTCATTGTTATAGCACTCCAAGTGATAATCAATTGTTGCTCCCAATAAGAAAGGGCTTGACACAATTCCAAAGGGTATCCTACAGAACCGGTATTCTTGTATCTGATTTTGCGATATGTCTGGGTGTTCAATATGTTTTAACCATATGAAACGAGTGACATCTCTTTGATATTTCTGCAACCCAACTTGGAGGAAAGCCTTCTCTATATCGGAAACAATACCAATCTTATGTAGTCGAAATCTTAGCAGAATTCCACACAAGTCATTCAAAAGCACGGGTCCTCTGTAAAGGCAGTCGTTTAGACTATTATTTTCAACCTTTGATTTAGCTGACGCGTCATACACAATTCTCAGCTTTGTTGTTGATTTGCCAGGCTTTATCACTGCGTGATGGGGTAAGTAATGAATATGTCCATTCTTTTCAGAGGTCTCAACCTTTTCTATAATGCCCTTTTCAAGCTGATCTTGAATCACAGAATCATATTTCTGTAATACATCTGGGTTATCTTTGAACTTTTTCACTAATGACTTAAGTCGTCCAAAAGCTAGAGGACGATTTTCTGGAATTTCATAATTGTCGCCTCTCCACGGCCACTTGACATAATATCTGTTATCTTTGAACACAAGACTTTCTTTGAACTTATCTATCGCTTGATCATCCTCAGTTCTTTCATTTGTGCTATCTTTCAATCCTATTGTTTCTATATTCCAAAAGTCTTCTATGTCAGGTAATTTTGGAACACATGTGTCTACTGTAAACACTTGTGTCTTTGTTATGTTATTGCCATATGATAAAATGAGCACATTGGCATCAGTAACGCTGTCATCGATTTCACTTGTTCTTCCTGAAAGAATCCAACCAAGTTTTGATGACAAGAGGTATAAGCCTGGCTGAATTTCTATTTTATGTCCTAGCACTATATCTAAGTAATAATCATTTCCCAACAGCAAATCAATAGAATCGGTGTATTCTTCAGTCGGTATATCATCCGCTAGAGTAAGATTCTTGATTAACGATCTGAATTCTTCGTTATTAGATATTGACACTGGTTTTCTTTGAATGCTTCCTGTAATGAAAATTCGATAAAAAATGCATGTGTTCTTTTTAATTCTAAAGTTTTGACGTAAATGTCATCAAGAAAAGATTAAAATCCGTATATGACAACTTTTGCACTGTCATGTCCAACTCATGATTGATAAGATAACCAAATGATTAACTCTTCATTTTGTACGTTTATAATTCATGAATTGAACAGAGATAACGACAACTTAAACAAGTGTTAGAATTATTGAATAGCTTCAAATGCACATAAAATTATGTAGATATTTTATTATTTCATCTTTGCCGTTTTTAAACATTTTAATTCTACTTATGCCCTTATCAGGGTAGGGTTTAGGGTTGTGCAATCCTTGTACTTTCTATTACCTTACATGAACAGGCCCTGCAACATGATCTGTTTGCGGTATCGCGCGCACTTAAGATAGAATGCGAAAAGTGGATCATATTTCAGGTTAGATTCCGTTCAGTTTATTCCAATAGTGTTAACCATTGTTTGTACACATGACATCAACGTTGACCATCAAAGCCTTTTTTTGGAACTTGATGTATTTGCGTATCGTTGGCAACTGTTATGTGTAACACAACGCCATAGGCAGATAAAATATAAAGTCTACAGTATTCAAAGAACATTATTTTTTATATGCTGATAAAATATTTATCGTTTTACGCCGGAAAATGTTTGAACAATGGTAAAAATATTGCCAATTATGCGTTAAACTTGACGTTCAGTTTAACCACATCTTTCGACCTTAAAACCGCTTTTTAGAATATTCCTGACATAATTTTTGATTTATTTTTCTTCGAAGCGTCCTTAAAATGTAAACGCAAGGTTAATGCATAAAACAAAATAGAGGGTCACCGACTAAAAATACGGACATTTTATTTCCACCACGTCTTGCGTACTTTTGTAACGAAATTCTACATAATTATGCATGCAGATACGGCAATAATATTCAGTTTATCAGCAGTATTGTTCAAGAATTACCTGTCCTAAAATGCATATAAACAACAACGAATTTCCGTTCTATGGAATAGCGCTTAAAATTTATCATGAGAGTTTTAGATGAGAAAACCATATATTTTATTTTTATTATTATTTTTTTTATTTTATTTTATTTATGTTTTTTTTTTTTTTTTTTTTTTTGCTTATTTATATCTTACGCGCTATTTCATACGAGCACGTCACTAATTCTGCTAGACATATAGTCGATAGGTCGAACCGAAACACAACTTGAACCCATACTAGTAAAATCAACATATAAAGGAACATTTCAATATAACATATAACGTGTCCCTGGATCAATGTAGTGTATGAAATTTGCTAGAACTGTCTGGTGCACATGGGAAAATCATATGAATCTACCGTAAGAGTTTATGCTGACATTACTATAGACGTTTACAAAACTAGCAGGAATAATGACCCAAAAAAGCCACCTGTACAGAGTCAGGTCACATCCATACAGAGTGACCATTTGCCCACTCAGGTAGTTCATTTGTACAAATACATTAAATGTCTAATACCAATCTTTCAGACTTTGAATGAACTGTTCCAAGTTCACAACTGAGCAAATCTATTTCATAAATTTACCAGGTAAAAGGTCACATAGACTACAGATAGGTTGAATATATTTTGCTTTCTTAACTAAATGTACATGTATATGGAGAGCTACTAGAGATGTGTTTCAGGGGCGTCCGTGGCCGAGTGGTTAAGGTCGTTGACTTCAAACCAATTGCCCCTCATCGCTTCGGGTTTGAATCCCGACAGGGACTTTGGATTCTTTCATGTGAGGAAGCTATCCAGCTAGCTTAAAGAACGTCGGTGGTTCTAGTCAGGTGCTAAAATAAATTTGTATAAAATGAATTACAGTTACCCCCTACAAAAATATATTTAAGTGTGCTGATACTCGCCGATTAATGACGTTAAACCTGTGTAACAGTTCAGTATCATATATGAAAAAAAATCAAATTTTCCGGCCTTACCGCGAAGCACTATTCACGTTCATCGGCGTTACCTCATAAAACGACTTGGATTCCATTTTATGAGAGTTTTTCAAATTTATATATCACCAGAAGTTTAGTAAATGCCACTTGCCTACCTAAAATCGAGATTATACCGTATAATATGCATTGCTGTACTTATAAGAGTCGACAAAAAGCAAAAATCTCGCTCAAAACGGTAGTCAAGTCATCATTATCACGAATGATCTTGAAAAGAAAACAATTTCGTGGAAATAATCTTGATGATGTAAGGTCTTTGAAGCCGTATACAGCTATTTATTTTTTACAGTTCGGTTAAATAAAAATAATATTGGCCAGTTTTCTTATCGCGTTCGAAATTCTGCCAGGTATCCGCCATTTATTGCACAATTCTGCGTTACTTATTGTACGAATCGTGCGTTATTTTCACTTTCCTGCGTTACAGGATATACACGGTGATATTATAGTACAATATGTCTAAGTCTGCGTACATTTTCTTTGATCTTGTGAAAGTCCTGCTTTTGTATGCTGATAAACGTATTAATTCAAATAATGATTGTTTGATGTAATTGAGGTTCGTGTAACACATCTGATGATTTTATAGTGATTCTTGGATAGACTTCATTTGTTTACATTTCCAAGATGGCATAATCATTGTCTTGTATGGTAATTGTTTTGGTTTTGACTATATTAAGAATGCTCGAAAGAAATCGAATTTTATAACTGTTACAATGACTATCTGTTTGAAATAAGTTTAAGTTATTCTTTATATGTATACTCTATTCCATATACAGTATTTAGTTATGATTGACTCAAAAGGATGCCCTATAATTCAGTTCAAAGATCAGTAAATTCTAGACATGTCGGGATAAAATCCTCAAGCTTTCCTTGTACTATCTTACATGACATCTCTAGCGGAAAATAGCAATTATTTGGATCATGATTTCATAATAATAGGCTTTGAGAGTGGTTAAGCCCTCTGGTAATGGTTTTGTCTTTTTATGTAGTAATGATAATAAATCTAATATTGATATGTGCATTTGCTTGACATTAACAAACTGTGATGTTTGTCTAGATTTAAAAACATTTTTTCTTGTCTGATAGTAAAAGGTTCGTATAATATGCCTAAATTGTACTGATAATGTTTCTAATTTCAAAAGAAAGGATGGTTTGTCATACAGCAAATAGCAAATTTCTAGACAAATATAATAACAAGCTATTTTATCTAGTTATATTAATGATACGAGAGACAAAGGCAAATGAGTTTTCTTTTCTTACAGATATTGTCATTATTGAAACAATCCTTCATAATAATTGTAGTGAAATTGTATAAAAAACAACTCTTATTTGTAAGAAGCGTCTTTTGATCAGTCCATCAGATAAATTCCTAGCCCTGGCTAAATGTACATGCTGTTCAAATTGTTTGTTACTGTTACTGCGAGGCCTCAAAAGCATGTACTTTACTTTTATCACTTTCTCAATAACTAGAGACTACTTAGCTTTGTCCTTTTTTGCAAACCCATATGCTGTCAAAAATACAACAAAAACGTTAGCGTAGTATCTAATTGATACAATCTAAACTAACAGCAATGTTCAAGCTATAACTTATAATAAATATCCATTTTATATTTGGGAAATGAAAAGCTACTGGCTTTAGAAAGACATGCTGTTAAAATTAACATTATGCGATATATGCAATGAGAGTGGAGAGAGTTGCAATGCCACACGAACATGTACTTGGCATTTATCACTATCTCACATATTTTGACGACTCTTGTAAATCCCTAAAGTAGAGAACATAAAATGGCACGTTGTTTAGTTTAAATAATACTTGTAAAAGGGTATAAACACAATGAGAATAAGTGTTAATTGTAAACTTTTATCAGGAACAACATGATGTCTTATTCAACTTTTCACGTACAATTTTACTGTGTTAACTAAATTAATAAACAATGCTGTTATTAAATGTGGGTAGAAGTCTATTAAACATATCAGCAATTTTATGTTTAGTTAGTATGGTTGTATGGTATGCAAACCAGTGGAAATCAATGAAAACAAGTGTTATTTCCTGCTTTAAACTAAAACAATATATAAAAGTATAACTAAGAAAAAGCACTTAAGATGAAATGTAATGGAATATTGTATTCAACAATTTTCAAAGCTTTTAGAACAAATGGTAGACGTGTCAAGGAAATGGTATCAGATGTGCATTGAAAAGTGGTTTAAATGTTATAAATGACCGGTTGTTAACAAGAAACTGTATATGTTTCTGTACTTAAATCACGCATATAGGTAACTCATACTCATAATTTTTTTCTGTTTCTGTACGTTTTTCATTTTTCATTTGCTGCCACCATAACAACACATCCCACTTGTTCGCCCTTTCCCTTTAAATGTTCCTTGAATTTTGGGGCCACATGTCGTAAATGTTGCTCTTGTTACAGATTTCATATTCTCCATCCATTATGTTGTTTTCCCGTTCATTTTTGAAACCACGATGTCATTGTGCTGTTTCAGTGGTCGTTTGTGGCTGGAGATTTTGTATGACTGATTGTTTCCCTTGTTGATCTTCGCTGTCCGCTCTTGTGTTCGGTACTGCCAAATCAAATCGCTGTTAGCAAATACAATCAACAATAAGTATAAAATTGAAAGGAAAATTAAACAAAAATAATGCTTTGCTTCAGTAATGATTCCAGTGAGATTCTATTAAGACCTGAAGCGTTTGATCACTTACACAATCAGCATGCACGATGATCTCAGCTGGGTGTTATTGATGAATTTAGATTACTAGGAAATAGATTTGTAGAAGCAATTAACTATCCAATGTACTTTTGCTTATAATGAAGTATTGGAATTTGTTTATAATAGTCGGTGAATTAACCAGTATATCATGACATTAAGCAACAACATGGAGATGAAATCAGCCTTAAGTCTATGTATAAATGAAGCTGTCATACTTGCTTTGAAAATCATTTTTTCGTTAAATACACGCCCATATAACAGAAAAGCAGAAACACAAAACAAAAAGCT